GAGAGTCGTAAGGCTAGTAATAACAGCGTTAGAACTCAAATGCAGGTTTTCTTATTCCAAGTTCAACATACACAAGTATTAAATGTTTGTTGTATCTATTTTGCTTTTTAAGTGATAGAATTGGGAGGGACGGAATATGTCTTTTTGGTTCTTGCTAGCTACTGTGGCTCCAGTTTCTTATTAACATTGTCTTTAAAAAGATAATGGTAGCCTTCACTGAACAACAGTTGATCCATATCTTAGTACTCAAATAGCCTTGGCCAGAAGTGAGTTTGGTAAGGGTAAGGAGGACACTTGATTAAGGAAATTTTCCCTATTGATGGCACAAGAGATGGACTCAACTTCCTGCTACATCTGGAAGAGCTGGATTCAATCAAACTAATGTAAAGGAGGGAAGAATTTCATTTACATTCTCTCTGAATAATGAGGGCATGAGTTGTAAAGTTACTACAGAGACAGTGCGCTACTCCTGGACTTCTAGTCTCATCCTAGTGATGCTGGTGATGTTGGGGAAGCAAATATGTCCTCCCTGGAGTCTAGCGCATGGTCCAGGTTACAGAAAATACCCGTATATATTCTTTCTACAGTGATTTGACTCATGATCTTACTTCTGAGAGGCATAAAGCTTCTGTTCAGATAAGTTGGGTAGAATGCTTGTTACCTTAGCCTTAAAAGTCATCTTGCAAAGAAATAACTAAAAAAATCCCATCTCAAGTAATAATTTTCCTGGTATGACCTCACCTCCAGAGGGTTTCTTAGAAACACACAGGCATGGCCTATACCAATCACTTTAAAAAAAAATTTTTTTTAAAAGATGACCAGTAAGGGGATCTTAACCCTTGTCTTGGTGTTGTCAGCACCACGCTCAGCCAGTGAGCTAACCGGCCATCTCTATATAGGATCCGAACCCGTGGCCTTGGTGTTGTCAGCACCACGCTCAGCCAGTGAGCTAACCGGCCATCTCTATATAGGATCCGAACCCGTGGCCTTGGTGTTGTCAGCACCACGCTCAGCCAGTGAGCTAACCGGCCATCTCTATATAGGATCCGAACCCGTGGCCTTGGTGTTGTCAGCACCACGCTCAGCCAGTGAGCTAACCGGCCATCTCTATATAGGATCCGAACCCGTGGCCTTGGTGTTGTCAGCACCACACTCTCCTGAGTGAGCCATAGGCTGGTCCCTACCAATCACTTCTTATCCTGGCCAAAGAGCTATCTGAAATGCTGTTTTTGACTCTCCTTTGTCCAGACACTTCAATTCCATCTGTTGGAAAACAGTCATACAAATTTATTTATTTATTTATTTATTTATTTAAAAGATGACCGGTAAGGGGATCTCAACCCTTGGCTTGGTGTTGTCAGCACCACGCTCAGCCAGTGAGCTAACCGGCCATCTCTATATAGGATCCGAACCCGTGGCCTTGGTGTTGTCAGCACCACACTCTCCTGAGTGAGCCATAGGCTGGTCCCTACCAATCACTTCTTATCCTGGCCAAAGAGCTATCTGAAATGCTGTTTTTGACTCTCCTTTGTCCAGACACTTCAATTCCATCTATTGGAAAACAGTCATACAAATTTAGCTTGGACCAAACACTTTACTGCCACCTGCTGGAAAACTGTCAAAATAAATACTGTATACAAATATCTATGTGGATGATGATGTGAATGGCACCCCCTAAGGTACAGAGTGTACAACTTTGTACAACAATAAGGGGTGGCCCTAGGGCCACTTGTGAATGGACCAGAGTAAGAGCTAGCTTAGATCCTGCCTGAGAAGACCCCTATAGAGACGAACAGTTTTCAACAGACACGTAGTTGGAGGTGGACCACCAGATAGATTCCTAGGGACTGAATGAGGGAGTGAAGAACTGCCAGAATAGAGTGCTTCTGCTCAGATCAAGGGAATTATGGGTGAGAAACCATCAGCAAAGGGGGATGGTGCTAGTCTCTGAAACATCTACCAAACCCAGGGAGTGTTAGGCCATCACAGGGAGGTAAAAGTTAAGAACTTTCCTGTTCCCCTTTATTTTCCTCTCTCCCCCTCCCTTAGGCTCTGGTTAATAAGCTAAGAGAGGAGAAACACCAGGCAGGGTTAGAGATGACTATGTTTCCCCTTCCAGGGCAAGCAGTGACCCAGGTGTCCCAGCTGAAAAGAAAAAGGTTCCACTCTTTGTGAATCAATGACCATAGGACTTTTTATTTTTTTACTTTTACTTTTTTTCTGACCATAGGACTTTCTATCACAGAACTCATGGAACCTGACAGAGTTTTCAAATAGGTACATGACAGATCTATTCCCACTGCACAGGTAGAAAGGGACAGTGAAAGACAAAAATAAGGGTTTTTGTTTTGTTTTAAAAATTATACCCAAATGAGCCCTGCATGTTGAATATACTCGTTCCATATTATCAAGTAGGATGTAGATAATATCTTCCACGGATATGTTCTGGAGAATTACAGAGAGAAAATGGTCAGTGAATCAATTCATTTATTTTTTGAGAGCCCATACTTTGTGAGTAGGGCATGTGAGTGCAAGGGAGTCCCTGCCTTCTGGGAGCTTACATCTTGGGTTTCACACTCAGAGCAAAGTACCTATTACAGTCAATTATGTCAACAAGAGCCTATGTTGCAGAGGAGGGGAGGTTCAGAAGGGTTTTTACTCTCTTGGATTTACTCTCATTTTTTCTTCCTTATGATTAAACTTTTGAAGCAACCATGATGCCTCTGTTCTCCAAGCATGTAATCACAGGTAAAGCTTCCATTTAAGATGTTTAAAGAGAGATGCAAAGCTAAATACACAGGATGCATTATGATTGGGTTGCTATGAAAGCAGGCTCTGTCTGATCTTCAGTTTGGCAAATTTGGTAACACCTTTCACTTCCTTCAAGTTTAATCAGGCTGTAAGAAATTATTTTGGATAAAACTACTTCATAATTCAATACAATGAACAGAAGCTAATTTATAAACCAGGATGTGAATTTATTGACAAAAGGCATATAACCAGTATAACTAGCCTCAGTCACATATCTTGGACAATCGCTTCTTACTGGGTGCGCTAATTTAATCTAGAGACCCCTTGAGTTATGGAACTACTCACTAAGTTCAGAATCAGCACATGGGCCTTTGTATGTTCTTCAAACTTAAATCTAGAATTTAAGTTTGCTAGAATATAAACTCCATGAAGGATGAATTTTATCTGCTGATGTATCCTACGAAACTAGAACATAGTAAGCACTCATTAAGTATCTGCTGAATGAGTGGCTGAATCTAAATTAAGATTTTTAACTTAATTAAAAGTTAAGGGGTATTGGCTTTTTTTTTTCCTTCTTTGCGGCTGGCCGGTACAGGAGTATTGGTTTCGGTGATTAGAATCAGTCACCTTTCTCCTGGACCGAGCGGGAGCCCCACAATACACTATTATTCAGATCCTGCTGGTTCTAGACTCTTTGTGGACGCCACCCTTCTGTTATGACAGCATCAACTGGGCATGTGACACTTAGGTTACAGATAATTTATTTTAGTCTCTCTGATGAAATTTGGGAGCCATCCTGACCTCTGTAACACATTTACAGATCATCTCATACGGTGACTTTTTATTTTTTAAGAATTTTGTTCTAAGTTCTTGTTTTACATTTTCCAGGTTACTGACTTCCAGCTCAGGCAGGTAGGGGACAACTGAATTGTGGTGGTTCGTATTTGCTGTCAAGGAGTCTACACGGACGATCTCAAAGCTTTTAGGTTAAAGGGAAGAGGAGATTGGTTGAATATTTATACCCCTGTGAGTGGGAGGGCGCTGCAGGGTTGGTCCGGGCAGCTAAGCAAGTACAGACTCTTGGGCTCAGAAAGCTCCTCATTCTGCCTTGTTTCAGCTCTATTTCCGAAGTTCCTCCGTAGTATATGAAGTCCCTTGTGAGCACGCACCCTATTGACTTCCACATTCCCAGACCCTGTCAGCACCAGAGCATCAATGTTCTCTCTGGAGTCTAGGTCAGGTCCTTAGCCGAAAGGGAAGGGTAGGGGGCGGACAGCGCGCAGGTGCAGCCCCATGGTCCCTGATCTATCCTACACTGCTGTGAATGGGAACATGAGTCACCGCTTAGGCCCGTCCCGGCCGTTTTCTGCTAAGGTCTCCGTGCTCTTCAACTGGATAAGAGCGCCAGGGGTTTTTGTGGCCTTCTGCAGGGGTTATGCGGGTATGGCCTCCTACGCAGAGACCAGGAGCGACCTCAGTCCTCTGGATTTTCCCTTTATTCCTCCTACGTCCTCTCTCCAGGGCCCCCGCCTGACTTCTCACACGCTAGCTCAGGAACCCAAATTTGGGGTAGGGGAAGAACGGCGGTTCTTTTTTTTTTCCCCCTTTTTGTTTTTTTTACTGACCGGCAACGGAATCGCAACCCTCGGTGTTGCGCCCCCACCGTGCTCAGCCAGTGAGCAGGAACCGGTCTCCACATGTGATCCGAACCCTCGGCGGGAGTACCGCCGGGCTCCCAAACGGCGCACTCTCCAGTACGCCACCGGGCAGGCCCAGAACGGCGGTTCTTAAGCTCGCAGACTCTGGGGATGCGGCCTGGTGACGCGGGGGAGCCTGGGTTGCCCGGGAGGCGCACTCGCCCCTCCCCCCGCCCGCGGCCCACCCCGCCCCCTCCCACGCACGTCACGTCCGGCCCGGTAGCCGCCCGCCCTCCGCCCTCCGCTCTCCTCCCGCTCGCCGTTAGGGGGGCTCCCCGCCTCAGCCGCCGCCCTCGTCCCCGCTCCCGCCC